TTGCTCAGTCATAGGATGAAGAGTTGGTACCCAGATAAACTCCACTAGGCTGGGCCTACCCTGACCTGATCCAACCGACAAGCACCTCCTCTAGGCTTCACAGAGAAAATGGCCCTTCGCTAGGTCCCGAGGCCTAGGGAAAAGCAGGAAAGACCTGAGGCAAAGCAGGACAGGGATTTCTCGATGCTCTTTCCTTCTCCCAGCTCCTCAGCTTACTTTCTGAAGCTTTCTCCCTCTCACCTGCTCCTGTAACACTGAAGAAAGTGATTCACACCATTCTGTGAATTTAATCCTTTTACTACTTTTTTTTTTTTTTTTTTTTGACAGAGAGACACAGCGAGAGAGGGAACACAAGCAGGGGGAGTGGGAGAGGGAGAAGCAGGCCTCCCGCGGAGCAGGGAGCCCGATGCGGGGCTCGATCCCAGGACCCTGGGATCATGACCTGAGCCGAAGGCAGACGCTTAATGACTGAACCACACCACCCAGGAGCCCCCCTTTTACTACTTCTCCCACTTGCCCCTTTGTCTCTAACCTTGGAGTTTAAAGGGAGAGTGGGGAACCCCAGCACCCCTGGGCACCACAGCCCCCACCGGGGTCTCAGGAACCGGCAGCCACATGAAGTGTGTTGGGGATCACCTCACTGGAGCCAAAGTCTTTCCTTCAGCAAAGCATATTTTTTGAGCATCTACGAGGGGCTCTGGAAATTAAATGGAAAACAGAGCCCACAGTCTAAAGGGAAAACAGGAAAAAAAACAAAAACAAGAAAACAGGAAACAGATAAAGGAATACCAATTGTGGTGAGTGCTATGAAGCAGGAGAATAAGGTGTGGAGGATGATCTTGGGGGTGGGGTGGGGGAGCTGGGAAGGGAAGATAAAGAAAGGAACATTTCTGTCCAGACCAGAGGATGAAAGGGAGCGTGCTCTGGGAAGAACAGGGTTTGGGGAAGTGCTTTCCAGGTAAAGAGGTATTTATAGGGCTTGAAAGCAGATCTTTCAATATGGAGATCCGATTGGGATTGGGCAGTTTGTAAGATAACAGTTCAGGATTGGAGGATACAGTGACGGGAGGGTCTTGAAAAATAAACAATTGTTTGATAAGCTAGTGGTTTGCCCGGTTAAGCAAACTATTGTCCCGAGAAGGGGGCTGTTTGAGCAGTCTATTGTTCAGATAAATAGATTTTCAGGAAGTTCCTGGAGCAAATAATGAAATTATTTACGAGTTTACGGGCTTATCTTCCTGGGCAAGAAATTTCTGGAACAAATATTAAAGTCATGGCGATGTAAGCAGCCTTAGTGAAATGATGTGACGGCAGGTGGTCTCGGTTCTCGGAGGCAGTGAGGCTGTCGTGGTCTAGCTGACAGATGATGATGACCTGGGCCAGGGTGGCCACGGTGAGGACAGAGGAGTGGAGGGCTGGGATTATTTGTGGAGACAGATCAATAGCACTCACTAATTTGGGTGGATGGAAAGGAAGAATCAAGGATGACTCCGAGGTTTGAGGCTCCAACCTCCCAGTGGTACCATTTCCTGAGATGGGAAAGGCAGTACAGGGTGTACACAGACTTGGGGGGGGGGTGGTGGTTAAAGCTCCATCCTGGAACATGTGAAATTTAGGATGTCTATGAGATCCTGGGGTAGAAACATCAAGTGTGTGGTCGGATACATGAGTCTGAGGTGCACCAAGCAGCCTTGGAGAGTTAAGGGAAAAAATTGGAAGAATCATCAGCACTTAGTTGGTATTTATTTATTCATTTGAGAGAGACGGGCAGGGAGGGGCAGAGGGAGAGAGAGTCTTAAGCAGACTTCCCTCAGAGCCGGACACGGGGCTCAGTCTCACGACCCTGAGATCATGACCTGAGCTGAAATCAAGAGTTGGATAATTAACCAACTGTGCCACCCAGGTGTCCCAATAGTCGGTATTTAAAGCTATGAAGACAGGGGCACCTGGGTGGCTCAGTCTGTTAAGCGTCTGCCCTCAGCTCAGGTCATGATCTCTGGGTCCTGGACTGGAGCTTGGCATCAGGCTTCTGCTCAGCAGGGAGTCTGCTTCATTCTCTCTCTCTCTCCCCCTCTGCCCCTCCCCACCGCTCGTTCTCTCTCTCTCTCTCTCAGATAAATAAATAAAATCTTTAAAAAAAAAAAAAAATAAAGCTATGGAAATACAGCGTTTCACTTACGGCGAGAAGTGAGAGAGAGAAGAAAATGGGGTGAAGGGAGCCCCTGGGAAACACCCACCTGGAGAAAAGGTGGAGAAGAAATATAAATAAGGGAAGCTGAGAAAGGACAACCAGTGAGGTCAGAAGAAACTCAGGGGGGTGGGGAGTCATGAAGTGAGCATTTCGAGGAGGGAGTGGTCCACTGGGTTAAATAGTGCCATTTTGATGGGTGTTCCCAGGAAATGGTGTGGTAGTATAGACGGACCTAGAATCTTCAAACAACTTCCTTCCATCACTTACTGGCCATGACCTTGAGCTTCATTCTTCTTGCCTCTAAAATGGGGATGATGATACCAACCTCACAGAACTGGGATAAGGTACAAATGGATATTGTATTTGAAAATAGACTCGTATATGTATATTGTCTTACTGTGTGTAAGACATAGTAGGCAGATACTTAAAAATCTTTCAGGGGCACCTGGCTGGCTCAGTCAGAAGAGCATGTGACTCTTGATCTCAGGGTCATGAGTTGGAGCCCCACGTTGGGTGTAGAGATTACTAAAAACAAAAAGAGAACAAAAAAATATTTCAGTGTAGTGGCAGTGATCGGGAAGGGTGGTCACCGATGAAGTGCAATACAGTGGATGGGGCCGTTGGAAAGAGGAGAGCCCACGTCCCATCTCTTCCTCCTCTCTCACTCCGCTGTGGCTGGAGACAGCTCCAGGGAGGGACCCATAAAGAAGGTGCCCATTGAAGCTGATCAGGGGCCAGAGAAAAACAACCAGCTGCGTGGAAAACACAGGCATGCTGGCCAGGAGGAGGAAAGGCTTGGTGGCACGGGGGTAACTCTTTCGTGGTTTCTGAAATGGCTTCGTTCAGGCATCCAAAAGCCATTTGCTTCAGAGTTAATATTGACTTGTCCCACCTCCATTCCCCTGCTCCCTTCTTTCCATCCTCCCTGTCCCCAGCTTACCTCAGGCCTGTGTCTTTGCTACCCCAGTGACTACCACTGTCTGGTCATGGCCCCCCCCCCCGGCCCCCTCCAGCTAGACTGATCTCATCAGAGGACCTCCTTAGAATCCCTCAGGGACTCCCCATTCCCTTCAATCAACTCATGGATCAACAAGTATTTATCAAGGGCCTGCTCTTTGCCAAGCCCTCACTAGGCACGAGGGATGTAACAGTGAGCCAGAGAGACATCCCTGCTCTTGGGGAGCTTGCAGTCCAGTGGGGGAGCCATACAACCCTGGGCAGGGAGGGGCGTGTGGGGGTGGGGGTGGGGGAGGGCTTCTGGAGCCCACCCAGGAGATGGGGCACCTGACCCAGATTGGACTGTCAAGACATGCTTCTGGAAGAACTGATACCTGGGCTGAGAACTAAAAGATGAATAAAAGGGGTTGGGTAAGGAAGGCCGTGGGGAGTGATGAAATCCAAGGCCCCCAGAAGGTCCTAGGAGCCCGGCTGGCCATCACCTGCTGAGAAGACCGGCCACCTACATTGTTGGCACCTTATTTGCGTTTCACCATTGCCCCTCCTTTCACCTGCTCTACTTCCTGAGACCCAGTTCAGATAACACCTCCCCCAAGAAGACTCTGATTCCTGTCCTCACACTAGAGTGCCCTTGGTGGTCCCTGCGGGGGGGGGGGGGCCTCCCCCGCTGGTCTGACCTCGGTACTCTCCCACTTCCCCGGAATGACACGTTCACTCATCTGTCTCCGTCACAAAAGGGGACTCTAGAAAGGGCAGGGCACCCTCTCATTCATCCTTGGTGTCCCCAGCACCCTGTTGGGCCAGGCATATTGTAGGCATTTAATAAATACCCCGAATTAAAGGAATCCACCCCTTTCTCTAGAACCAGCTCAGGAAAACACCAAACACCAGACACCCGAGAGAGTGCCAAATGCCAGGCTTGGAGAGAGTGGTCTGAGGCATTGGGAAGCAGTCTGGCTGCAGGTGGGTTGAGGCTCCTCAGGGAGGTTCTGAAATAGGGTCTGAAACACTAAATCCTGGCTGTCTGGAGGGTTAGGAGGCCGGGAGTTGGAGGGACAACTTCTTGGGTCTTGCTCTAGGGAGCGAAGCCTCTCGGTAGCGACCTTCATACCTGGGCAGTGGGAGTGGGCAGAATCCACTTCTTTCTTCTATCCTTACCCGCCCCCGCCGCTCTCCCCTTCCCAACCGAGGTTTCCAGCTGTGGATGCCTGGATGGACCTGGCTGCAGGGAGGAGGAGGGAACTCTCTGTCCCTCCCTCCTTCTCCATCTCCCCACCCTTCCTCCTTCCTCCTCCCCCTGCCCGCTCGCTGTCTCCCTCCCTCTTTCTCCTCTGAGGCGGTGGAGTCGCCTCGCAGCAGTGAGCTGCGAGCGCCCTGCTCCCAGTCCCGGCTTGAACTGAACTGTGCAAGTGGCGGGTCCTGGAACCCCGGCCCAGGAGCGGCGAGCCCAGGTCTGAGCCCGGGGCGCAGCGGCCAGCCGCCGAGGCCCCGGTTCGGGACCGAGCCGAGGCGCGGAGCGGGAGAGCCGGCGAGCCGGCGAGCCGGGCGGGCGGGCCGGCGCAGCGTCCGGGCGAGTCAGGGAGCAGGACCGCGGAAGGCAGGGAGACGGCCGCAAGCAGAGGGCAGAGGGCAGAGTGCAGAGAGCGGCCTGGCGCGGCGGAGGGCGCCGCCCGGCCGGAACCGAGCTCTCCGCCCGGGACGGCGGCCCGCGCTGGGGCGGCGGACCCAGGGTGGCCACGAGTCCGGAGCGACTCCCCGGCCCCCGGCGGGGGGCGTGCCGCCTCCCAGCCCAGCCGCCCCAGCCCTGCGCGCCGGTCAGCCGCGTCGCCGGGGCATGTGAGCGGGAAGCCCGGGCTGCCAGCCGCGAGGACCCGTTCGGAGGAGGAGCCGGAGCAGGAGCAGGAGCGCCGAGCCCCGAGCCCGGCGCCCGCCTGAGTAGTAAGTGCGCCCCCTCGGCTCCCGCAGCACGCCGCTGCGCCCCCTCCCCAGCCCTGCGAAGTTTGACACTCGCGCCCCCGCGTTTCTGGGCACACGCCGGCTCTCATCTCTGCGACTTTTCATCCTTCGCAAAGTTTTCCGAGAAGGAACGGACCCCCACCTACCCCGCCCTCCCAACAAGGCCGGCCCGTGGCGGCTCCTCGCGGGCTGACCTGGGTCCTTGGGCAGCGGGGTGGCAGCCCGGTAAGGCCGTGGGGGTGGGGGGCGCTGTGTGTGTCTGTGTGCGCACCACTCTAGCCGTCCTTGGGGTGCTCCCACCTCCCGCGCCCCCGCCCTCGCCGACCGGCCGGGGGGCACGAGGGCTTTCTCATCAGTCTGTCTAGGCGCCCAGTTCAAGGGTTTCCCAAAGGGAAGCTGGGGCGACCTGTGCGCGCCCCGTGTGGGGGCTCGGGTGCCGGCGCCCATACGCAGATCGACCCCCTCCCGGGTTGGTGTGGTGCGGGGGGGCCGGCCACGCAGTTCTTCCCACCCTGCCAGGTTCGCACCCCAGCGGACCCGCAGGGCGCTGCATCCTGTTTGTTTTCTGCTCCGGCTGCTCCTGTTTCACCCCCTCCCACCTCCCACCTCCCACCCTAGCCTCCTCCTTACCACCCCCCACCTCCCGCCTTTGCAGTCGGAGGTGAATCTCTGCATCCCGATTTCGCTGCGAAGCAAATCTTGCCCGCGGGTAGGGAGGCGGGGAGGTGGGGAGGGGGCCGGTCGCTCTGTTCCCAGCGGCTCGCCATTGTTTTCCCACCCCGCGCGTTCCGTACGTAAACACACACACACACACACACACACACACACGTTTGCGCGCCGGCTGCTGTGACACGCACGCGCGCGCGCGCGCGCACACACACACACACAGACACACACACACACGTGTGTGTGTGTGTGCGCGCGTCGGCTGCTGCGAGTCCCCAGACGCGCAGGGATCGCTCGCGGGATTTTCCCAGCTGCCCGCCTGGCCTTCCAGGCTACAGGGGCTCCATTACTTATCTGGGGCTGGGGAGGGCGACAGCCGTGGGGGCTGCCGGAGAGTCCCGGGCGGGGCCCCGAGCCCGGCCTGGGCGGGAAGTGAATTTTGAACTTCAGCCCTGGACCTTTCCGGGAGGACCCCGAGCGCACGAGCTGCGGCTCCCGCCCTGGAGGGCCGACGGCAGCTGCGAGGACTCCAGCGGCGCTCTTGGCAGCCGCCTCCGTGACGGGGGCTCGGAGGAAGCCGAGGAGTTTTCCTGGGAAGTTCGCTGTGACTTTGTGGGAATTTCCGGGCAGGGCGCCTTGGCGCTGGCTCTGGCGAAGGGGTCTGGCCAAAGCCAGAGGAGATGCTGCTGCTCTGGGCGGAGTTTCGAGATCCGCGTTTGCATCGTGCTCCCTTAGGAAGTGGTGCTCCACAGGCTGGGGTTCAGCACATTTTGGTTCTAATTCCCCTCCTATGGGCAGCGTCTGTTCGGGCGAGGCCCTTAGCTTTCTCAGATTTTCCCTTACGCAGAAGGGGCAGAATTATGCGCACATCTTTGAAACTGGCATGGAATGATCAGTTAAGGTATAATGGTTTGGAAGGCGTGAACTCCCGGATGGGGACCCCCCCCCCGGGTGGGACCACTGAAAGCCACTTCGTATAGCTTAGTGGTTAAGAGCCAGGGCTCCGAAGGTAGATCCTCGATCCTGCCACTGGCGACATGATCTTGAGCAATTCAGCCTTATTGCTCTGTGCCTCAGTTTGCTCATCTGCAGCTCATAGAATTGTGCCTGGCACATAGTAAGTGCTGGAGAAATGTTAGCTGTTACTGCCATTTTTTTTTTTTTTTTAAGATTTTGTTTATTTATTTGACAGACAGCGAGAGAGGGAACACAAGCAGGGGGAGTGGGAGAAAGAGAGAAGCAGGCTTCCCACTGAGTGGAGAGCCCGATGTGGGGCTCGATCCCAGGACCCTGGGATCCTGACCTGAGCCGAAGGCAGACGCTTAACGACTGAGCCACCCAGGCGCCCCTGTTACTGCCATTATTAACTGACCTTGAAGAGAGCCCAGAAGGGCACTTTGGGATTGTGTTCCTTTAATCAGTTATAACAATTGCCCACTTCTGGGAAGGAAGAAACCTCACACTTATTCCCACCCTTTCCTGATTTTGGCTCCTCAGATTCTCCCTACTCCTTGTCTAGTTCCATCTTGTGAAGTCTTTATTAACCTCCCCCCGCATGCTGCCGCTCATTATTTCACAGTTTTTTGAAAAGCACTTTATTCCCTCCTTTCCCTCATTCTTAAAAGTCAATCTTGGCCCACCTGCCAGTCTTCTCTCAGTGGAAATCAGGCCCCAGGAAGGAAGCTGTCTCCACTAGGGTGTCCCCTGGGTATCCTGGCTTGGGCTGCTGGCTCGGGATTGGATGCGCATTTGTGTCTCTGGGGCTGGGTGAATTTCTGGAGAGAGGAGCCCAGGTGTCTGGGGCCCTTGCAGCTGGAGGGGTGGATGGGGGAGGGGGCGTCAGGTGGGAAGGGCTGAGGCTGTTCCTGGGGGAGCTCTGCTCCCTGGGCAGCATCTGTGTCACCTGCTTCTGAGGCGCACTCGGGAACCCAGAATAGCCCAGCTGCCTGGGTAGACTGGAAGCAAAGTTTCACCTTCAACTTTCCACTTGCACTTAAGAGTATTTTCTAGGAAATCGGGTTTGTCGCAAGCTCCTTGTCTGATTCCGGACTTTGCAAATGCACAGCGCCAGTAAGGGGTGAGCTGGGAGACAGGAGGGAAGAGCAGGTGGATACTGCCTTGGACAATGGGCTTCCCTTTCCTTTCTCTGATTCTCTAGCCCCCACCGCGGGCATGGGGGAGGGCGGCCAGGAGGTTGGTGCTTGGTGCTTGGAGATCCTGCTGGGGGGCTATTTTCAGTGATGAGAACCACCATCGCAGTCCCACTACCCCCGTTCATGCCTTAAACAAAAATATGTTGGAACGCTTATTATGTGTCAGGCCCTGTGCTAGGCAATGTGGCTTTAGGGGTGAACAAGACAGGTAGTCTGCCTGCCCTCGAAAGAAGTAACCAAGACATTAGACCCCATGTGATGTGGCAGAAATACAGCATGGTGATGTGACACAGAATGCGCACATGGAGGCAGGCAGGGGTGGTGGGAGACTGGAGGCCAGTTGAAGCCTCCCCCCCCCACCCCCCCAGGGGAGGATGAGAAGGAGCCCGCTGCACAAAGACGGCGGAGGGAATGAGAAATCCCCGGGGCCAGATCCGGGTTTGTGCAGAGCAATGTGGCTGGAGGAAATCAGAGCGGGGAGGACCAAAGCCTGGTCACATAGGGTCTGGTAGGACTGGTTAGGAGCTTGGATTTTATGGCCAGTGTGATGGGAAGCCATTGGAGAGTTTTAAGGAGGGGAGTGACATGATCTAATGGATGATTTTAAAAGATGATTTAGTATATAAGAAACAGGTAATCGGAGTTGCCCCAGAGGAGGGAAACGGTGGCTGAGGGATGGGTTGGGTTGGAGGAAAGATGGTGTTTTCACTCTGGACCCTTTTGTCCTGCTCGAATGAAGTGCCTTGTGCATCTCTGAACTATGCCAAAGAAATCAAACCCCAAAAAGTGTAGGTAAAGAAAGAGTAGCTTCTAATTTGGAAAACATATATTAATAAAAAGGGTAAAGCCCTACATGAAGCTCTATGGTATATACTAATTTTGTACAGATAATCGTACGTATGTGCATGCCCACCCTGCACGCGCACATGAAGAGAAGACTAAGGCTGCCTGGAAGTGTTCACAGAGCTAATTCCAGATGCTGGACAACGGGTGATTTTTATTTCCTTCCTCTGTTGATTCTTCCAGTCTTCTACAATGGTCATGAATGACTTTAATAAGTGGGAAAAAGTGAAAAAGAGAGGTCACTTTGGTGGCTAATAGAGGGTAGTTTGAAGGGGGAGCAAGAACGGAAGAGGCTAGCCAGGAGGCCCATTGGATTCAGAATGTTGGTAGGGTGGGCCAACGAGAGATTGTTCTGGAAATGGAGCCAGTGGTTCTCACTAACCACTCTTTGCTCTTGTCTAGAGAGGGCATTCTATCCCCACCTCAGATTTTGTGATCAGGAGTGTTGGGGGTCAATACTGGTGAAGGGCGATTTCCAATGCTGCCTTGGCTTTGAAAACATCTTGCGGTCCAGCTTCATCTATACCCCCTCTTTCCTTAGTGGGGAGGGCCCCAGCCTGAACATGTTGCTACTCTGATAATTAGCAGATTCGGGACAACATGATGTATCTGGTAAGAGCTGGGAGAGATGTTCACCACTTAACAGTTCTGAGCCTCTGTTTTTCCATCTGTGAAATGGGACAATAACAGCAACAGTACTTAACCTCTTACAGCTCGGGAGGCTCACGTCCGATTAAGTCCGAAGCGGTGCCCCATGAACGGCGTGGGTCTGGGTGTGTTGGTTGCCAGACAAGTGTTGGCTTGAAAGGCCCGCTCCTGCAGAGGATCAATGTTCCTGCCCTTGAGGAGCCGACACTTTTCACAGGTTTACTCCTCTCTGGGGCTGCTTTGAGATTGGCCTTATCGGATAGCTCCCAGTAGGTCACCAGGAAGCCTCTGGAAAAAGTGGAATTCAAATGCCGCTGGGCCTGCGTGCCCCTCCCCCAGCCACAGTCAGAGGTGAAGGGGAGCCTTTGAAAAGGACTCTGCTGGGAAGGCCCAGCCAGGCCCACAGCAAATCGTGCTTTGAATGGGAATTATTTTTGCGCTCAGTGTTTGCTTAAGAGGGCTCGCTCCTGTCCAAACTCACTGCAGTCCTCACCCTTTGCTAGTCTCCTTTCTGGAACCTGGCTATGTTAGCCGGGAAGGCTGTCACAGTGCCCGTCACCAGGCAGGGACCCAGGACCCATGAAGATGGCTTTCACCTCTCCTGTCATCTCCCTGTCTCCCTGCTCCCAAGCAGGAGGGCACGCCCTGGATGGGGTCTTTGCTTGGCTCACC